TTCTGGGTTCAAAATTGCAGGGACTATTATGAACTGACTCAGAAATGAAACTGAAATGGAATTGTTATAAGTTTAGAATTTGTAAATGGAATGATGAAGTATTAAGTGGGAAGAATGTTCACTGCTACTTTTAATACTATGTGCAACTGAGACTGGTTTTAGACTAGACATTTGATCGCAAAGGGAAAATCAACATTGCAATAGAGTACAGAATGTTTACTATATTCATAAACACAACTTAACTCTGAACTTCATGTGATATTTATACTTCCTAACTCTTCAGAGGAGATGCATAATGTGTAGATATCTGAGAGACAGTGTCTCTTAAGAGATGTTATATTATGGTGCTAACATTGTAAACAATAACATTCTGTTGATATAATCAACTGGGCACTTATGGAAAGTTTTTTTTAAATATTTATTTATTTATTTATTTATTTATTTATTTATTTTAATTTGATCAGAGAGGGACAGAGTGAGAGAGGAAGAGGGAAAGTGAGAAACCAAGCCGCCAGGTCCAGAACTTGAACCACTGTCAGCCATGTGGGAGTCCAGTGTCCTTAACCACCATGCCACCTGCTGTCTCTCTTAGGGAAAGTTCTGAGTGGGGTTTAGAGTATTATTTTCATATATCAGAACACTGTTTAATAAAGTAGTTTAGAACATTACTATTGAGTAAAAGAAATCACATTTGACATTTTTTCCCTTCCTCCCTACACATAATGTCTCTCTAAAGCTTAAATGACCTGTGATTCTTACTGCTTGGTTATTGTTAATGTTTTTTCCTAACCTAAAGAGATAATAACATAGTTTTGGACAGTGGTGTTTTGTTGTTGTTGTTTTGTTGTTGTTTTTCTGGGTAGTGGTTTAAGCTCATAAAAATAATCAACACTTTTCACTGACGTACAGAAAAAGAGGGTGTAGCTTTATAAGATGTTATTAAGCCATCTATTCATAAAATCTATAAAATGGTCTGATGTTTGGCCACATGTAATAAACAAACCATGAGGCTAACTTGGGTCTATACTTCATGATAAATCAATTCACAGATTCATAAAAATAAATTCCACTAACATTGTGTTAAAAGTCATAGGATGTGCAGGCCTCTGCTTTCTGTTTCATTTATCTTTCTTTACATTTTTTAGAATATTAATATTTAAATACATAATTCTTGACCATGCTGTTACTCCTTTGTCTTCTCTTATCCATGAAATCTTCTAATGCTCATCTACTTTTTATGCAATTAAATCTTAAAATAAATTCATTTCAAATAAATGTGACCTATAAAACACTTCCTTACAACTTAAATTTGTTTTATTTTAGCAGAATTCCAAAAAATTCATGAAAGCTAGTTCCTCAGAATGAGCTCTGTGAAAGGTGAGCATTCCTGACAGTTCATCTTCTTTTGTTCTTACTAATTGGGTAGACTTGATGCATTATATTCTTGTGACTTGATACCAAATTTCTCTTTATTACCTTGTGATTTTTCTTGGACTTGAAAGAATTTATGAGGTCTGGTACTGGTCAGAGCATAATAACAGAAACTGAGTGTGACCCACACCAATCTTCAGACTGTCTTCTATTTTTTTTAAGTAAATATGTGTTTAATTCTCATATACCACAAATGTTTTTGTCAGCGTATTCTGTGGTTTTTAAAAATAATGAGCCAATAAGCAGCATAGACTAGAGAGAATCAGATGGGTAAAGTCCAGTGTCAGGTCACCCTAGTGAAGCACTGAAGTCAGGAAAAAGCCAGCCCCATAGCCTAGTAGTTAAGGAAGTCAGATTCCACATAGCTGACAGCAGTTCAAATCCTGGCCCTGACAGCTTGAAAACATGCCAGGCATATGTGACTGCATGGCCAAAATTCTGATGGCTTGGAAAAATGGAAAATAAGGAATTGTGGCAAGACTATACCCCATTTTCCCTCTACTTCTCTATCTCTCTCCATTTCTCTGTCTCTGGTGGCCTCATTTACCCTCAATGGAAAGAGCTTGGAAGATAACACTGCCATGCTTTCAAGAAAAGCTAGATAAACTGAAAACTTAATGACTTAGACCTATTGGAAAACTGAGGTCCCTAGTCAAAGTGCCATGTCAAATCTGGAGAAAAAGAAACATCCAGAGAGAATCAGCACCCAATAGCTTCTACGAGAGGACTCACTGGCATCTTTTTATAGACTAGTATGAGTGAGAAACTCATGGGGGCCATAGTAGGAGAAGGGCTCAACACTTTGAAGGGCTTTCCCTCAAACCCACAAGGTTCTCATCATGAGGCTCTCAGAAGAATCTGCCCATGGCCTTAGTAAGAGAAGAGGAATAATATCCATTATGAAGTAATCTGAGAGCCTTCTTGATAACAAAAGCCTACTATCAAGGGAAAGGTCTTTGCTACAGCACAACTCAAACTCAATCCCAAACTCTACAGGATGTTTGTCTCACCCTAGGGAAGGAAAATTATAATTTAGTCAACAGAGGCCAAGCTTTCAAGAAAATAAACAGAATTCTGCAGTAAGGGGAGGGGTTGCAGAGGGGAAAGCCATAGCACTGGAGAAACTGTTGAAATTGTCCTAGAAATGGGCCCTCTAAAGATTGAGAACGAATCATATGATTTTAGAGTGTTCTTCCCTACAACTTCCCACCATACCATCAGGGCTCCTGTATAATAGCAATGAATTACAGAGGAAAGAGCTTCAAGACAAAGTCTCTGTGAGGAGGAGGACTTAGGGAAGCTTAAAGTCAAGACATGAGAGAAACAATGACACTAGAAGAATTTGAAGAAATTTATAACCCTCAGTTATAATTTATTTCCTAGTCTAACATCTAGTCAGATAACCAGAGATATGACACACATGTCAGAATTGTTACACAAGAAATTTAAGATTAATACGTTAAAACTGAGACAGTATAATAGGCAGGAATAAATGGGTATTATAAACAGACAGATGAAAACTTACCAACCTGCAGAAGCAAGAAGCTCAGAGAACACTAAATGGGATAAATACAAAAAAAAAAAAAAAAGGAAAAGAAAAGAAACCAACCAACTTAGGACAACCATTGAAAGATGTGCTAACATCCCCGATTAAAATTAGAGGAGAAAAAGAAGATAAGACTGAAATTAAAAAAAAAAAAAGAAGAAGAATATAGAAAATCACAAATATGGTCCATTTCAATCTAACAATGTCAATAATTACTTAAAACTGAATAGTCTAAATATAGCAAACAGAAGACAGAGATTGCCGAAGAGGCACTTTTTTTAGAGCTCCAAGTATATACTGTCTATAAAAACTCACTTTTAATACAAATACCTATACCATTTAACATTACAGGGTTGGAGAGAGAGAGATGACTAATCAAAAGAAGTTGGAACAGTTATGAAAAAACAACCTTCAATTACAGTAATTGTAATAGGAGAATTTTAGGACGGGCATCAGAGAAGAGTATCCATGTGTGGTGAGCTTAGGGAGATAAAGATGTTGAAATGAATAAAGAATGTTTAAAACTGAGGAAAAAGTTAGTAGCTATATAAGCATCCTATTCAGAAAAGTAGAGAAGTTAGAAGAGAAACTTGTCCTTTCTTTATTTAACTCTTCATGATAATTTTATTCTGTAAGAATGTTTCCTATTTTCCTTTGATGAAAAGTGAAACTAACAATTGTGGTATGCTACATTTTATTTATTCCAAACAACAGAATACAGTACATCGAGAAAAACATTTGCATGTCCTACAAAAACTGAGAACTGGAGAGTGTTTAAATAGGGTGACCACATAACTTGGCATTCGAACGGAGACAGTAGGTGATAAGCCAGGACTATTCTGGACATTTTTCACTCATATCCCCAAATGAGATCTCTTCTTACAACATCTTACAATTTAATTAGTGCTTCGAGTACAAAAAAATACATACAACATGTAAACAAACCTTGAAGATTTAAAACTGTTTCTTAGAAAGCATTGCAGTAAATGTATAAACTGTTATTCTGCTTACTGACTCACTAGCTATAGAGAAATTTATAAAGACCAAATTCAATCTTAGTTTTCAGATGTCTAAGAGCCCAGAGATGTAGTGAGGGTAATTCCAATAAACAGACCAATGAAAAAATATACAGTCCCATGGGAAAGCCTGAAAGTGAAGGCATGCAGGGCATTACACTTTTTTTAAAGAATGATTTAATTTCATTTATTATTATTTTAAATTAGCTATATGGAATGTGCTTTCACCAGAGAAAGATAGAGACATAAAGAGAGAGAGGGGGTAATTGAGAAAGCAAGTCACCAAGTCTGTGACTCAAACCACAGTCAGCATGTGGGAGTCCAGTGCCTTAACCATCATGACACCTGCTAGCCACCAGGCATTACAGTTTAATAGTAGTCAAATTATTAATAATAATAAAATGATGACTTACATGCTTATGTTGTTCTATACTTTTCAATGTTTTTTTTAATCACTGCTGTAGAAAAAAACTACTTTGTATTCCAACTTGTATCTCACTTATACTTTAGAGTATCTTCATTCTATAAATATCTTCAGTCTACTGAAATTTCATACAAGCAGTGTACAATACAGCACATATTTTTTAAAATTTTATAAGAGGGCATGTGTACACAGAAAAAGACAGAGAAAGGGTGAGAAAACACCCCCATGGAGGATGGCCATGTCACAATTCCTTTTCCATTTCTTTTGGGATCTGGGGCACACATGCACATGCACCCACCATGTTTTTCAAGCTACTGAGTCGAAGACTGTATGGGTGTCCATGTGGGATCCAGGGCCTTAACCACTGTGCCAGAGGCCCATCCCACGTTACTTTCTAAATTGATAACCAATGTATTTTAAATTTTTGTATATACTATTTTAGTAATAAACTGATCTTAAAACATTCTATAAACTTGAAGCTTTACTAACTGAAAATCATATCCTTACCCACCTGCTTCCCATCCATAAGCATGATTACAAGCTAATTAAATTTCTGTTCTATTTCCTCAGCACACATAAAGGGCTTTAAATAGGATTTGATGGTCTCTCTGATGATAATATAGTCAGTACATAGTCACAGTAGGTTAATGAGATGTGTTCCTTCCCTGACAAAACTGTGTACTCTGTAATGGCATTGAACAAACGTGCATGCCTGTTACTATCTTACTATTTTCTTTAATTGGTTACTTTAATGTAAATATTAAAATAATGGCATGCAAAGGAAGCACGGATTTTATTTAATGTTGTGTTGTATATCAATATAAACTGCATACGTTAAAAAAATTCTTAAGCAACTTGTCTCCAAAGCAGCACCTTCTAAAAGAAGATTTAAAACATAATTTATTCCAATTTTGATTTTCTCATTCTGTGGTTCTGTTCTGATCCGTTTTGTTAGTAACAACCAGAATAGTAGGTGCAGAAGAGTGGGGACTATACTATGTATATACACATATATACACACATACACATATATACATATATATAATGAATTTTTTAATTAGCTAGAGTTCCAAAATTCTAGTGAATTCGGTATAATATAAAAGAGACTACAATGAACGTGTTTTGTAAGTAAAAATTATCAGGAAAAGAAAAATAATGAACAGAAAGTCCTCAGCTTATCAGCTGAGAGTATAACAGAAGCAGCAGGGAGGCCGGAGGATTTTCTGTAGGACTTAGGATGGCTCCACGTTCCTTAAAAATTCTGAACTCTGCAGAGGAAGAATATGTAGAAAAGAAGAATGTGACAGAGTAAATAGTTCTCATAAATATTTTGAGTGAGAGATTTTTTTAAAAATTAAAACACCCATGGAAAAAGAGATAAGTTCCAAATGTTCTGGAGGCTTGGCAGCCCTGCAATGGTTGGCATGAAGTCTTCCAAAAACTCTAACTAAAAGCCACCATGACAATGGCATCTGGTTGGACTGTCCACACTCCAGTGGATATTTTATCTGTTAAAGTGGAATTTAAGCTTCCCTATATTGCAATTATAGAAATGTTTTCCTTCTTGCCTCTATTAACCACTGAGAATTTGGTTATCAGAACATCCCAGAGAGCAATATTTTGAAAGTCTTTAAACTTCTAAGGAAAAGAGAAATGTTACCATTTAAATGATGCTAAGTTTGCTGTGCTATGCAAACTGATAGAGCCCACCAAGAAATCTTTGCTAGATTTGATAGTAGAGTATTTTCTTGTAAACTTTATTTTGACTTTGTTAGAATAATATATTTGTGGAAATACTTTGAGAATCCAAATACCAAGATCTTTAAGTAAACAGCAAAAATGAGGTTTAGCTCTTCTTACATATACATTAGTACAACTGGGAAATGGTCATTTTTACTTTTTTCCTTTATGAAATGTGTTTGAGGTCATAAAAATCTTGCAATTTCTGCAATTCACAGAATAATTGTATTATTTGACATTACGGTATTTAACGCTAAAATTGTATAATATCTACTATTTAGCTTAAAACTGTAAAGTACAACTTAAAATCTGTCTAGACAACATGAGAATTTGAATTAGTATCAGGTATACAACTTCAATACTTGCAGTTTTATAATTAATCTAGGTTTTTTTTTTAATTTTTGGAAGTATATATGGAGTGTATATACTCTGGTGTGGTACACTATTCCATAACTTACTTCCTTTGCTTATGTACATTTGTACATCTGCTATCCTTCTTTTTTTGTGTATTTGAATTTCACATAATAAATTTATAATGCCTAGGTACTTGACTCTTTTAAAGAACTTACATATTAAAAATAATTCTCGAAAGTACAAAAAGTCAATTTCAAAAACATTAATTATTATTGGATCATATACTACGCTTGCTCATTAGACTAGGAGTGGATAGTAGCAGAATTCTATTTAAAGTCAGAGGTAGCCAGGCACTCTCCTGGTCTATGCTGATGTAGCAGATTCTAGAAGTAAATAGAGAATACTGGCCATATCCAGTCCATATTCAGTTTTTTAGATGGTTAAAAAGATGTCTTAGAATGTTTTGTCATCGCAGTCAGATTGTTGGTAATCTCCCCAGTGAGGCTTCCTTTTCCTCTTCTAAGGTTACCTTGAACTGCCCAATAATGTGCTCTAGTGTCACCCCTCCGATCTAGAGTTGAACCCTGAATTGACGCTTGTTTAATGACAAAGAGAAATTCTCTACCAGACAAAAACAAGAATGTGTGAATTACCAGGAGTTATTGGCAGCATTTGGAAACACTAGGGGAAAGCCTGCACAAGAATTAAGTCAGCACCAGGGAAGTGGGTCTGATGCTGTAGAAGAGGTTCCAGAAACCAGTTATGTCCGTGCTTAGTTCTAAACACAACATTTAAACCCTGGTCGATGACCCTTGCCTGAAGCTTGATCTCCCCTGGATCGAATGACTGCTGAATTAGGTTACTGAATTACTAACTAGGTTCAGGTTTTTTGAAACATTTCTGTTAAGAATGTTTTTAGGTAATGAGGCATTTTTCCTATCAGAATAATTCAGTCTACTAGTGCCCAAGGTAGACAGTGGGTAGTGGGAAACATCGCATAAAGATCCAGGTGCATAATAGCCGTCACTGATTTGATCAATCACGGAGAAAGCTTAGGTTCGAGTCTTTGGTCTGCGAGAGAAGGTTGGGTAGTGGGAAAACATTGCATAAAGATCCAGGTGCATAATAGCCATCACTGATTTCATCAACCAAGAAGAAGCTTAGGTTCGAGTCTTTGGTCTGCGAGAGAAGGTTGGGTAGTGGGAAACATCGCATAAAGATCCAGGTGCATAATAGCCATCACTGATTTGATCAACCAAGGAGAAAGCTTAGGTTCGAGTCTTTGGTCTGCGAGAGAAGGTTGGGTAGTGGGAAAACATTGCATAAAGATCCAGGTGCATAATAGCCATCACTGATTTGATCAATCAAGGAGAAAGCTTAGGTTCGAGTCTTTGGTCTGCGAGAGAAGGTTGGGTAGTTGACGTAAATATCCTCTCTTGCATCATCCACAGGTTGGTTGGTGGAGTTGGGACACCTATAATTGTTGCCTGCCTAGAAAGAAAAATAGCAAAAGATGTCAATAATTCACTGCATTTCATCTGCTAATAAGGACACTCAAAACATAAATCTTTTCTCAATCCAATCATGATACAAGTCAAATTTCCTCCACAAGTTTGTAAAACATTTTCTTCATTGTATTGAACTTCTGTTAGAAATCACATTCTTGATTTGTAGACTGAGAAAGATGTAACAGAAACCTAATCTAGAATCTCACTTGCTATATTGTGTTTTGCATTACCAATGTCAATGTAGAATGCCCTCTCTCAGTATTGGACTACTTTGACAGAAACATTTTCATTTTTATATGGAAAGTCTAGTATAGTATTTCCCCATTCTGGAAATCCATTAATGTCTGCTGAATAAATGTCTTAATAGACAAATGTTTTTAAAGTTCAGTGTTCAAACTTAAAAAATAGACAATTAAATATACTGAAAGAAATGAATGAAGCAAACTGACCTTTGATTTCAAGATGCTATTACATAATCACCAATCTTCTCTGCCCTAATCAGGTCACTTTGCCCACCTTTATGTATATAAAGGACAGACAGTGTGCAGGCACAAGAAAAAAAGGAAAAAACTGATAGAAAAAATGTGAGAGAGACAGATATTTCAGTGAGTAGTTTGAAAATTGAGAGAGATTGTGTTATTTATTTTGTTTCTAGACAGGCTCTCACTCCATAGCCATTCTTTTACTTTAGCTTCCCAAAACACTTGAATTGCAGGCTCACACTGCCACCATGACTAGTGTTTAGGACTGGAAATCAAACCCAGGCTTCCCACATGGTCCCGGCCTGTAAAGCACAGAGTCTTTGCAGCATGTGCCACTGTGCCTGAGCCAAATATTGGTGTTTTTAAGGAGAAAGAATATGGAAAATTTCAGCCCCATTACTAATATAGCCTGTCTAAAACAAAAAGAAAATACAAGTAGATCCAAAGAAAATACAAAGAATCAAGTAGATATAACTTCTTTCACGGCTTAATTTACTAACTCCAATCATCCTTCAACATATCATCATTCAGCTATAGCCTAAAAAATTAGGTACCCAAAGCAAGCAGTCGAAAAGCTCCTTCTTGGGATCAGCAGATGGCATAATGGTTATATCACTGGACTCACACGTAGTATACTGTGATTCAAGTCCCAGACCTGGCAGCTTAAAACTCATGCCAGGCACGTGTGCCCGTGTGTCCAAAATCCAAGAGGAGAATAGAGGAGAAAGGACTGTGGCGTGACAGTCCCTCCAGAGGATGACATGTTGCTTTCTCTCTCTCTCTTTCTCTCTTTGTGTGTGTGTATTTCTCTGGCAAGTGCTTGTGCCCTATAGCAAAAATCTCTAAAAAAAAAGAAGGAAAATAAAAATCTCCTTCTTTTCCCACGAAATTCACACAGAATTTGGCTTTGTATTCATTTGAGTGGACAAAGGGATACAGATAAAAAAGGAAATCTAGAAATTAGGTATGAGAGAGCACCAGTACTGCTTGCTGAGGCAGCAGATGAAATAGACCAAGGCTGCTTGATTCTGTAGTTGGTGCCAAGAAGAAAGCCAGCTTTTTTGCCAAGAAACAACAGCTTTTTTTTTTTCTTTTTTTTTGTAAATGTAACTACTTAACAAAAGAAAAAAGTTAAATGGATAGAGTGCTAAGATGTCTGAAGCTTTGATACCAGATTGTCAAAACCTCTTAATACTTGACTGTCAGACCATTGCAAATAATTGAATTAAGGGAAAGTAATGTAAATTTAGACAGCATTTGAAGAAATGTTTGTCTTCTTTTAGGTTGCTAAAACAGAATACCATGCATGGGTGATTTATTTTTCACAGTTCTGGAGTCCTAGAAGTTCAAGATCAAGTGTCTGGTGAGGGCTTGCTTCTTAGCTATCTTATTGTATTCTCAGAGCAGAGACAGAGAGGAAGCAAGTGCTCTGTCTTTTCCTACACAGGAGCTATCTAATCCTATTACAAAGGCCCTCCACCATCATGTCCAAAGGCCCCGCCTCCTAATGCCATCATAATGGGTGTTAAGAGTTCAACATATGAATTTGGAAGGGACCCAAATATTCAAATTATAACAACATTTTATTATAAAATGTAATAAACAGAAAGAGAAGCAGGGGATAGATTTTCGGCCCAAGAAGTAACCAATTCTTCTGACACCTCTTTGTGGACTTTAACCCTCCAGAATTATGACAGGTTTTCTGCTGTTTTAACCCACACAGTTGGTGATTTAGTTACAGCAGCCCTAGGGAATTTAGACAGATTTTGGTAATACATAATGTTGGTTGTTACTATCGGTGTAATTGCTCCTGTAGTTATAGCAACATAAAAAAAGTTGTTTCAAGGGGCATTCAGAATAAGGGAATAGTTCAGAAAATAACTGTTTTCTCTAATAGCTCAGATTCGAATTATAGGCAACTGCGTAGCCAGGTTACTGGAGGAAGAATAAAAAATAAGATTGCTAACCACAAAATAAACCGAGTGTACTAAACATTTATGAATTACAAAAAATAAATAAATAAGAAGGCAATTTGAGCAAACTTACCTTAGTCTTTGAATCCCAGAACTCTTTAAGACGAATTATTTTCTGTCTCTTTCTCCTTCTGGAAAGTATATTCAACAGAGAATGGCAAGATATTATCCCCCAGCACAAGCCTATTTCAAATACTCCCTACATCACTGCTTCAGTTCACATGCTCCTACTGGCTACAGTTGGCTTTCGCCCACTTATCCAAAATTCTACTGACCTAAACTTTTTTCTTTTTTTTCTACTTTCTCCAATATATTCACAGATGGTTGGGTTAACTAAATGTATACCCAGCCAGTATACATTTGTAATTAATTTCAATTATTTCAGTAAAGTATGGTGGTTCACAGTGAGTTATTACATAAGTGGCTTAGAGCCTTCAAAGAAACTCGGGTTTCAAAATGTTTCACAATTAAACCTTCTTTTATTTATTTTTATTTGTATTACTTATTTATTTATTTATCTTTTACATTCAATGTATATCATTATAGCATACCAAAAGAATTTTCCTATCCTGAATACACTGTATATTGGCTCAATCAAAGATATTACCATGCCTACCATCGACAAAAAATTTTCCATTTTGTGTCCTGTAAATGTTTTGCTTCTTTCTTTTTCCTTTTGACTTCCTCCCTCTCACCCTCCCTCATTGCCCACCCTCCTCCCACACTGTCTGTGGTATCCAGTTGCTCTCCATTCCTTGATACCATCCAATCTCAGTTTCTGCCACTGAGTGTAGAGTGTATATATTAAATGGAGATGTACAATGCCTCTCTTTCATAGTCTGTTTTACTTCATTTAGCATGTGTGCTTGCCAGAGAGACAAAGAAACAGAAAGTGAAAAATCACCCCTCAGGTGAATGGCCATACCGCAATCCCGTCTCCTCCATTCTCCTCTCAGGATTTTGGGCATGCACACACATGTCCCCAGTGTGAGTTTTAAGCCACTGGGTCCAGGACTCAAACCGTGGTCAACCATGTGGGAGTTCGGCAATGTAACCATTATCAACTGATTTTTGACAAAGGGTACAAATTAATTCCGTGGGAAAAAGAAAACTTCTTTAGCAAATGATGCTGGAAAAGATGGGCATCCACCCACAGAAAGATTAAACTGGACTCCTAACTCTTGCCATTAACAAAAATCAACACCAAATGGATCAAAGATCTAATCCTAAGACCTTAAACTATAAAACTATGAGTGAATAACACAGGGTAAACTGTTGGAAATAGCAGAGTAGGAAAAACTTCTTAAATAAAACCCTGAAGCACAGGTAACAACCCTAAAAATAGAGAAGTGGGATTACATCAGATTAAAAAGCTTCTACACAGCAAAAGAAACAATGGTTAGAGTGAATCAACAACCCTCAAAATGGGAGACAATATTTGCAAACTATGCCTCAGATAAGAGACTGATTACAAGAATACACAGGGAACTCAAGCAGCTGACAATTAAAAGATGGTCAAATGAGCTGAACAGATGACTCTCTAAGAAAGACATATGAATAGTCAAAAACCACCTGAAAAAATGTTCAGCAACCCTTATCATAAGGGAGCTGCAAATCAAAACGACAATGAGATACCACCTAATCCCAGTCAGAATGGCTAAGATTAAAAAAGTAAAGAATGACAAGTGCCCATGAGGCTGTGGAGAAAAGGGAAGCCTCCTTCATCATTGGTGGGAGGGTAAAACGTCTTTTAAATGCTAACAGTGTAACTTCTTAGATGACAATGATAATATCACAAAGCATTATAAAATCTAGGTGTTATTCTAAAATGTCTATTTGAATTATTTTATTTAGATTTCAGTAGAACTTTACTCAACAGATTAGGGAACTGAGGTGTCGAGAAGAGTGATCTGCCCAAGCTTATGGTTAGCTAAGTGGTAGTGCCGTGGTTTAAACCCGCAGCCCTCTGTTTTGACTACTGGGGTCTCTGACTCCTGAAGTCACTTTGTTTAGGCTGAGTGCACCATCCAGAACCACACCGTTCAATAACTCTCCACAGTTCCAATGAAACTTGTAAAATCTAACTCCAGGAGGAATTTCAGAAGATGAAATACAAGAGAAGTAAAGAAGCTACTATAATTGATTGCAATAGATGATATAACCATATCATAAGTTATGAAAAAAGTTATTATGGGAAAATGTTGTCTGTTTCTTTTCCATCTCCCTAAAGAAATGATTCTTACTAAACAACAGAAGATATTAATATGTGTATATTATATATACACATAAATACATTTGAATTTCTTTTTTCTTTTTAATTTGCCAGATGGTGTGTGCACTTGCCAGAGAGAGACAGAAACAGGGAGAGGGAGAGATCACCTCCCAATGTGCTATAGTCATGCCACAACCTCTTCATCATTTCTCCAGTCTCTGGGATTTGAGGCACACATGTACATATTCTTGGTGTGGTTTTCAAGTCACTAGGTTGGGAATCCAAGTCAAATGGTGGGCCATGTGGCATCCAGCTCTCTTAACCTGCAGACCATGACTTACCCTATGTATCCATTAAAATAAGCCTAGACAACACATCACAATGAAGAGAAAACACGGAGCTGAGGGCATGTGCTCAGTCTGTACTGCTGTTCACTGCTGAGCTATTTGCAGCTTTGAAGTTCAGTCCCCTCATCTGTAAAACAGAGGCTGTGGACAAGCCAAGACTTGTTCTAGGTCAGCCAACTGTTCCAGTTTGCCTAGGACTAAGGACTTTCCTGGGATGAGCAATTTTCAACGCTGAAAGCAGGAAGGTCTCAGGTAAGGCAAGCCACCCTTTCGATTGTGAACATTCACAGACAACAACTGTGAAACAAGGGTCTACCATTTTTCTCTGAGATAGCAAATTTCTACAAACACAGGTGCTAATCTATAGATCAAACTTGGGCTCCTCTCAGGGTTACCAGGGCTATATACATCCTGGCCACATTCCCTTCCTACATGGAAGGCACAAAAGCCCAGTGCGGAGAAATCGCTCCTGGTGACCTTGGGTTCCAGGCCACCATGCACTGGGTGTGCAGAAGGAGTGGGGTTTTGTTCAGGCGAACTGTCTGATTGACTCTGACGTCTATCCATGTCCTACATTTGAAACTACAGGGTTATTTTAAATAATTGGTAAGACCAGGTCCAGAGGATCATTGCACAAGTCCTGGGGTCATTTTCAAAGTATTTCTATTTGAAGTAACCACCACCAACTGAAACCAAGGTAGGACTTCTCCTTTCTGGAGTTCAGCCATGGTTATGCATTCAAGTCCACTTCTCTACCGTTCAGCACATTCAACCAATGGGGACACTGGGTTCTACAGTTTAGTTTAGCTTTTCATGTATAAGTGATGCATTTTCATAAAGCAAAATCCATCATGTCCAACATCTGTGACCCTCCAGAGATCTATCCTGTGTTCCTGAACACTCTCCCTGCCATCTCTTGCCCCCAGCGCATTTTATCAGCCAAGGTGAAGCAATTGAGAAATCCTAGGTGCCAATACCATCCACGTTCCTTACCACAGTTCGCTAATTTCTAGTCAAGGAAGGGTTTGAGGGTAGCCTGTGATGGAGAGAGAGGCTGCATGTTTCAATTTAATTAGACAAATGCTTACCGAACATCCGTTATTTAGACAGATCAGTGCTAAATGCTATCAAACAGTGAAAAATGAATAAAACACCATTCCTGACGCTATGAATAGAAGGAAGACAAGCATGACGTGACTAAAATACAAAACAGGGTGTGAGGAGAAGCAGATAAGAAGTACAAGATGATTCCAGATGGTGACATCATGTCTGTTGGCAGGGACAGACAAATAGGACAGGCCTCACAGAGTAGACAGGTATTCTGAACCTTGAATAATACCAGGTTAAGGCCAGAGGTGGAAAAATGGCATTTGAGCAGTGTATCAAACGGGAAGACAACGTGTGCCTGTTCAAAGGATCAAAGTTACAGCTTTAACAAAATTTGTCAGCATAGGGGAATACGAAAAGTAGAAAATAGAATGAAAATGACTGTGGTCATGAGGTAGGACACCTTCAGTGACAAAGTTAATGAGTGTTCACATTATTCTGGTAGCAGTGGGAAGTAGATAAAAAGGGTTAAACAGGAAGACACAGTCAATCTATATTTTAACAGGAGTGGACCCAGGAAAAATGAATGGGTTAGAAAAAGAGACTATATCCAAAGCATACAGGGGAGTGTTCCTAAAATCAGGAACAGCCCGTGCAGAATCAGAGGTGAAGAAATGGGGACGGATAGAGAAACCTCCTGAAGTCAATGGCACAAGCCACACGTGGAGTGTGTGTGTGTGTGTGTGTGTGTGTGAGTTGGTAACATTCCTAGGGGATGAGAACAGGGATGGATATATTTATTTACCTAGAACATGTCTAGTAAGTGACTAAGATATGCCCAGTCTATAACATGTAGACATCAAAAGTATGGGCCCTTTCTCCCTTAAGAAGAGAACACCTTAGATGAAACCATTTTGAAAGGAATAGCTTTAACCCCCTATGATTATAGTGACTAAGTATGACAGATGTCTAAACAAGTGGGTTGATAAATGTGGGAAATCTAGAAAGGGAAGAAAGGGTCATCCCTAAAACCCTAGAAAATCCCCACATGTGCCACCAGATAGAAAGAAAGTAGGACAATTTAGTGGAGGTCAAATGATCACCTCCTCTCTCTAAAGTCACCCTTCCACCCCCTAATCTTCCTCAGTAATGTTTACTGCTAGCACTGAGAAAGCTTGTTCCTGAGAATACAAAACCATTTAAAATTATGTTGTTTGCTTATTAGAATATGAGCTTCGTTATATCTTATTGACCATTTTGCAAAAAAAGTATTTAATGACTGAATAAATTAAAGCACCTTCAGTGTTCAACCTTGTTTTTCCCCTTCTCAGAATCAATCTTTCTCTCTCCCCCTCCATCCTAGCTCTTTCTCTCACAGAGATGCACACACACTACCCTCTAACAAATAGCTTTTTTCTTGGAGGAGAAAGATGGAGACAGAGCACAGTCATCAGACAAAAATGAACAGGACAGATTGCCAACTGCTACTATTTTTTTTAAGATTTGCCAGAGGGCACATGCACTCACTGGAGAGAGACAGAGAAAGAGGGAAAGTGAGAAATCCCTCCCCCCATGGGACATGATAGCACCGCAATCCCTTTTCCTCCATTTCTCCTTTCAGGTTTCAGGGCATGCATACACATGCATCAGACATGTTTTTCAAACCACTGGGTCCTGAACCCCAACCACATGGTTGGCCACATAGAATCCAGCCACCTTAACCACCATTTCGCTGGCTGGTACAACTCCTACTAACTTTTAAATGAACTAGTCCAGCTTTCCCCTCTAATATCACCACAATTATTTCTCGTTTGTGTAAGAAGAGTTCTTGAAAAGATACATACGTCGATTCTGAGACAGCTTGACAAATCATCGAGTTATTAATGGAGAACCACTAACGTCAGAATCACCTGGGTAACCGAGGTTCAGGATAAGCTGCAGTACTCACCTGTTACATGAAATGACAGTGATGATGATAACTACGATAACAAGCAACAATAAAACCGTCCCTGTGGCCACAAAGAGGATGTAGTGGTTATTGGTTTTCCCTAGGAGAAAAAATATAGTAAAAATTAGGAATTTAACTAAAGACAGAAAAAAAAAGGAAAATATAAACAGGGTAGATCAGAGAGTAACATGAGAAACAAAGAATTCTGTAAATGATAGGAGCTATGGGAAGGAACAATTTTTCTTTTAGAGACTTGTAAATATTTCTAACTTATCACATACTGTTATTAATCACCTGGTTAAATTGGGCTTAGCACCTTAAGAAGGAGAATATAAAGATTGTTCATACAACATAGATATTACTTCGTTTTAATAGACTCCTGGTCATTTAAACAGAATCTTTTTTTTTTTTAACTTGCCATGGGGCATGTGCATTCACCAGAGACAGAGAGCGAAAAAGAAAGAATGCACACACACCCCCAATAGTAAGCGCTATGACCATGTCACAATCTCTTCTCCTCCATTCTCTCAAGATTTGGGCACACATGCACACATAGCCAGTGTGATTTTCAAGCCACTGGGTCTGGGACTCAGACTCCAGCATCAGCCATGTGAGATCTAGCTGCCTCAATCACACCACTTGACCAGCCTTAAACAAAATCTTTTGTTTAAAAAAAAAAAAAAAGAATATTGAAATAGTATATGTGAAGACTATTTTTATATGTCTGATATATTAAGTACACTCAACCCCAAAAAATACGTAACTCCGACACTTATAAGTAGAATTTTGCTTAACATATTTTCTATGCAATTTGTTAATGTTAAATAATCAGGAAAAATATGCTACTCTGACCGACATTTAACTGGAAACTTACAGTGACTCAAGAATCCAAAATTCTTATCCTAAGGCTCTCACTATTTAGACAATTGACCTCCAGAAAATTCCTTACACTTCTCTGCACTTCTCTGTTTCTTTATTTGTTCAATGACAGCAGCTCTAATTACATCACAAATTGTGGTAAGAATCTAATGAGTCAATATTAAAAAGAGTGGTGAACAATGACCAGAGAAGTGTCACCTCGGTGTTGGGATCAGGGAGGTAAGAGACTGTTTTACCTTCTTTACTGAACTCCTCCCCCTTCACACCTTACCCACTCTACCCACAAAGCACCTGACTAGACACTTCGCACCACAAGGGAACTCTGAGGGCTGGCAGGAATGAGATTGAATTGAAATATAGCAGTTCTCTTTATGGGCAGCAAACTTGCCAATTTCCCTCATGGAAGGACATAGACTATCAGGGGACAGCACAACGTTTTCCTTTCTTGAAATGGAAACTCTGATATTTATACCGATTCCCAGGCTCTCTGGTATCCCACTGTACCCTGGAAATCATGCTTTTCAACTGATTCTTCTCCATCTTCTCTAGGATTATTTATTCCTCCCTAATCCACTAATTAGCTGAAAGAGTTTCAGGATAAGAACTTAAAGTCTGGACCCTCTATTCTTTTATTATTATTATTATTTTAATTTGCCAAGGGACCCATGCACTTGCCTAAAAGAAACAGAGAGATGGAGAAAGCACCACCCCCAGGGGGTGTTGTCATACCACGATCCCTTCTCCATTATTTCTCCATCCTGTTGGGATTTAGAACACAAATGCACACACACCTGTATGTGTTTCAAGCTACCAGGGCTGGGATTCAAACAGTGTAGTCAACTGTGTGAGATTCAGCTCCCTTAACCACTAGATCATGGGGCCAGCCCATAGACCAATCATTCTTTTGTAAGCTTTATTACAAAGAAAACCTAAGACAAATAATATACATTGGGTTCTCAGGGTTTTTTTTAAAATAAATCATTTAACATAGACTCCACATATAAGTGAGATTATACAGTACTTTCCTTCCCATGTCTGGTTTATTTCACATAGGATAATGTTCTCCAGATTCCTCCATCTTGTCTCAGGTGACCAATTCCACCCATTTTGATGGATAAATAGTACTCTATTGTGTACATAACCTACATATTCTTTAAACACACACACACATTTTCTTTAGCCATTCCTTCATTGATGGACATGTAGGTTGTTTTCTATGTCTTGACTATTACGACATCAATATCATAAACACAGGGGTACAGATTTCTCTTTCAGATATTGCTTTTATTTCCTCTGCATAAACACTCGACCTAGGGATTTCTGAGTCACACACACACACAAAAAAAAAGTAGCTTTTTTTTTACTTTTATGAGAAACTTCTATGTTGTTTTCCATAATGGCCATGTCAATTTACATTCACCAACCCTGTACAGAGTTCCATTTTTTTCACATTCTTGCCAACACAGATTATCGTTTATCTTTTTTATAGTAGGCATCCTAACAGGCGTGAAGTGATAGTGGTTCCTTGTGGTTTAGATTTACATTTCCTTGATGATTAGTGATGCTGAGCATCTTTTCATAAGATGTCTTAGCCTGTTTGTTTTAATGTCTTCAGTAAGAATATGGCAGTGTCAGTCCATTGTTCATTTTTTAATCAGGTCGGTTTTTTGCAATGAAATCCTGTCACTTATGAAAACATAAATGACCTTAGCAGACAGAGTTGACCGAAGTAAGCCAGACACAGAGAAACAAATACGGTATGGTTTCCTGCATTTGCAGAATCTAAAAAAGTTGAACTCATAGAAGGAGCATAGAACAGTGGTTGCAAGGGAATGGGTAGATATGGCCAAAGGGTGCAAAGTTTGTTATGATTTCAACAAGTTCTAGAGATCTACAGCATGACATGGGTGATGATGGATGTGTTGATTAATTTGATGTGTGAATCATTACTGCTAACTACTGTTTTATACATTTGCTTGAAGGACACACATGCTGAAAAGCTGAGTGACCTGAAGATGACCTGCAGGGAAGGAGTGAAAATGTGGGCTGCAGCAGAGCAACCAATCAGAACAGTCGTAGTTTCAGTAATAGACCAATGGAACTGCTGCTCAAAATAGCCAATCAGAACTGCACAAATTTCAATCATTCATGTGCATCCATACAGAGCAGGCTGAAGACTTGGACAGGAATTATTCTTCTATAAAAGACTGAGCATCCTGAATGTGTTTGAGGAGGCAATCTTTAGAGCAAGATAGCCCCCTGCCTCATGGCTAATATGACCCATAATAAAGCCTTCCTCCTCAACAAACCTTGCGGAACAGAGATTGACTTTTCTAGCAGCAAGTGACTGATTTACAGGCCCTATCAAGTTGTTTGGTAACAATATCAAATCATCATGTTTATTTCTTGAACATATTTAATTCTTATTTAACAATTATATATTTTTTTAAATTTTAAAGCAGATTTTTCTTTAGATTTGGGGAATATATTTTAAATTTTCTACATGACATATTGCTTTTGTAGTCAGGGAAAAATGTTAATGTCTGTACACTTAAAATATTCTACAAAATTTTCATGGTTATATTTAAAGTGAAGAATACAGAAAACTTTTTAGAAGAAACTAGGATCCTTAAGAATTAAGATGACATTCCTTATTAAGCTTTAAATTATATAAATCTTCTTGAAAGTATAACCATGCATAACACTGTTGAATTATAAATCTGAATTTCAAATACATCTTTACTATGAAATATATTGCCTCTTTTTAACCTTTTCCAGTGTGTTTGGGCTGTTGGAGTCAGATTCCTTTATTCACTCAGTTTTTAAATACATATTATTTTAAATCATACTGTGTATCTGGTACTACAGATAAAGTGGAGGGTACAAAAATTTGATACCTGATTTAATGGAGCTTCTATCATTTTGCTGTCTCTTGTCAATCTAAAATGAAATGTTACTAGACAATTCAAAACAGGCACAGAATGAGTATTTTCCCTTAAGAAACAAGATAAAGTCACTGGGGTCAGGAAGAGATTTGGTCCCACTCCAGAAACACTACAATCTGGAATTTCCTCCCTATAGTTAACACTGCTTTTCACACCTCTCCTGCCCTCTGTTGTTTTCATGTAAATAACAAACATGTAAAACCAGACTGGTATAACCATGCCCTGTATGGTTTGGGTGGAAGGAGGGACTGGAAAAGGAAACCCTTATGGATGTTCGGGGGAGTTAATCGGTAGTTCACAGCATTCATTTTTCTCAAAGCTCTGCTAACAGATCTTAGGTTGAATGATGCCAGCCTGGAGCCCCTCTCTTATAGAAAGAATTATTATCTGACTTTTCTCACATATATTCCAATGCTGTGTTGATTCATAGGAGGACAAAAGTGTCTTGAACCATAAAGCCATTATTTTCCTCCCATCACAGAAGATAAATACAGTTAAAACAATTTAAAGCAAGTCAGTGAAATATATAAATGAATAATTTACTCCAGGACTGTGACCCTTCAGGCTGAGTTTCTGCTGATGACAAGTATTTATGGCTGAGTAATAAACCCTTAGAAAAGCCTCATGACAGAAGTGCTGCCAAGGCCTTGTCTCACAAAGGGGCAGGCATTCATGTGTATTGTTCATCCTTTATAGTATCTAGGATGGAATTGGGGAGTTGCTAAGCCAAGTAACGTATAACTTAAGTACCTGGATCAAAAACATGGGAAAACTCATAAATCCTGACTCCTAACCTCTGAGCTGAGAAGGGCAATGCTAACCAAAACCACAATGAGATAGCCCCCCACACCTGTTAGAATGACTTTGGTAAAGCAGAATAAAACACAATATGCGTTGGTGAGGAGTGCTTAAAAATGGAACCCTGGGACACTGTTGAAAGACAAATACTGCATGATGTCACTTATACATAAAATCTGAAAGCACTTCATCCACAAAAGCAGAAAGCAGAAAGATGGCTACCGGAGGCTGGGCAGGAGGATGGAGAGGGAGGAAATAGGGAAGTGATGTTCAAAGGGCATGGAGGCTCAAACAGACAGGAGAGATGAGTTTTGAGATCCACTCTACTCTATAGTCAATAATAATGTATATTTCAGAATAACTGAGAGAACAAATTTCCAATGTCTCACCATAAAAATGGTAAGTACACGAGGTGATGAGTAGATTAATTAGCTTGATTTACTTTTTTCACATTGCATATATATATATATATATATAT